TATCGAGGAAGAAGAGCGCTTGGAGCGGAAAATGGTCCATCTTACAGAGCGAAAGATCGCTGAGGTTCACCAGCGCTTGGACGCTTTTGAGTTGCGGGTGTTAGCCCGGCCAGCCCCTCCGGTGGATGTGTCAACTCTTCAGGCTGCGATCGATAGTCTTCGTGCAGATATTGACACGATCTTAGAGGCTAGGGTGCCTGGTCTAAGGCCCCTTCTGTCGATCCTGCTGAAGACACAGTGTTGGCGGCCCTATTCGCCACCTCAGAGATTCCACCACCTCTCCCTCGAGAGCATGCCAAGAGGCGTAGGGGTTGAGCGGAGGATGAGGTGCGAGCAAGGAAGAAGGAGCGACATGAGACGGAGTCTGCGAGAAGAGCCTCGCTTACTGAGGAGGAGGCGCACCAGATGAGAGTAGGAGAGTTAGCGGCTGGGGTGTCTAGCTCCCGAACTATGGAGATAGAGGGAGGCACTGATGATAGTGTTGTTGTTACTGAGGACACCACTGAGGGTGTCCAGATTACAGAGGAAATGGGTTCCGGGGAACCGGACCTACCAGCTTGCTGATCGTCGGCGCTTTGCGCCTCAGGTTTGCTTCACCTACCACTCTAGTATTTTAATTTTTTATGCATTGGGAACAATTGCATGACTTTTTGTTGGGGGTGGGGTAAATGGAAAGTGAGTGCTATCGTGAAGTCTGATTAGCCCAATTTACTATCCTCTTTTGGGGTTTTCTTGCATGTGTTCTTTTTTCCCAAGAGACTGATTACTTTTTCTGTTGAACCGGCATGTCTATATCTTTTATACATAGTTTAATTCTGGAGCATGATGGCTAAAATGATATCCTGATAAAATGGAAAATGATGCATGACTAGGCATAGTAATTGATAAATGTGTGGCTCTAAGCATGACATAGAGGTACACCACTACATTACCCTAAGTCTAAAATTCAAACTAGGTGTCTGATAATCTGGTAGAGTGATGAGATGTCAAGTGAGTGTGAGGAAGATTTAAATAGTACACTATTTGTACTAAGCTAGAACTTGCCTGGTTAGTCCTGCTAAAAGTAAGCTGTAATAGAAAATTAGGAAACGATGATAGGCCCTTATTCAATGTAGCCCATTTTTATCCTAAATAAAAGAAAACCAAATAAAATTTATCCTTCTTTCATCCAAATGATCTGAGCTTAAATTAGACCTTTCTTTTTCACCCCAACTGATCTTTTCTGAGAATAATGTGTTGGCCCTGATCCCTCCTTGGACATGTGCACCTCAGCTTATGCCAAAAGCATAAGTTGAGAATGGCTAATGCAGTAAACAACCTTCGTTATGGCCCTGACCCAACTTTGGGTATTATGTACTTTGACTCATGGCAAAGCCATGAGTTAAGGGTGGTTATTATGAGAAATGCTCTGCAAAGTGGGGTTGAAAGAACAAAAGTAAAGTGACTCAAGAATTAGTTGAAAGAAAAGTAAAGAAAAGGAAAATATACAAGAAATACAAGCAAGAAAAGAAGAGAGTCACTTACACAAATGAAGAAAGAAGAGAAAATAGCAAGGTGAAAGAATATGAGAAACTGGGCGAGATAAAATGATAGAAAATCGTATGTTTAACGGATATGTCAAGGAGGGAAAAAGTCACTAAAGTATACCTAAATATACCCTACCTGACCCTGAGCCTATGTTACAAGCTAAGAAAGTCCTATCGTGATCCTAAGGGTTGAATAGCGAACTTAAGACAGTGAAAATAAGGGCAAGCTTATGGCGATATGTATGAATGAGCATGAATTTGTTCTGAGAGCGAGTATTGAAAAGTAATCCTTATACTCAAACTGAAATCATTGTGTGAAAAATGAGGATTTTGTTTGAAAGTGAGGACACTAGTTGCAATACCGGAAATATTAGCACCTCGGTGATAAATTGAAGAGAATAGGTGTTAGTGCAAGGTGAGTCTGTGTCATGCTCTGATCCCACATAATTCAAGACTAATAGTGATAGCATGCATAAATATGATGAGATTAATCGGGATTGATAGCCAAATGATTGCAAAGGATAAAACATGGATACTATTGTACAAAGATTTTGTATTGAGTCATAGTGCGTCGCTTGAGGACAAAAAATAAATTTAAGTTGAGAGTGTTGATATACCTTGGTTCCACGGTATTATTAATACTTTTTCCTTAAGTTTAGTGTGTCCAAAAGCCTTTTTGTGCTAATTTTTAGATAAGTTTCTCCTTATTTGCAGGAAATATGTCAAAAGATGAATGCGGAGGTTTTTGAGCGAAGAAATGCAGAAGAGACCACCTACGGATCTTGTGATGGTCCGTCATGCTTGTGACGGTCCGTAGGTGGCAGCAAAGTGTAGCTGCTGAAGGAAGATGGGAAAGTCTGACTAAGTGTGGGGTTACGAGAAGTAGTCCTAGTACCCATATTCCAAGAGTTTAAGTGTTGTGAAACGAAGACCCTCGACGGACCGTCGTGTCTGTGACGATCCGTCATACTTGTCATTGAGGGTAATGAAGAGAGCAGCAGAAGAAACTGAACAACTATGGGACGACGGAGTCCATGACTGTCCGTCGTGACCACGACGATCCGTCGCGAGGTCCGTCGACCCAGCGGCGTTTTGACAGATTTCCAGCAAATAGAATCCTTGTTTAATTAGATTTTTATTTTCAATAAATAGTTCAAAAAACCTCGTTTTTGAGGTTAGACATCGTATTGTGAGACACCGTATTGTTAGACACTAGATTATTAGTTAGAATCTAGATTATTTGGTGAGGTTGTTGATTATCATTAGACTTTTTGTGAGATTCTTGATTACTTTGAGATTCTTGCAAGTGATTGTTGGTGATTTTTGTTGATTAATCAAGCAAACTTTCGGATTTTACTCTTTCTCATTGAAGTAAGTACATGAATTCTTATATAATATATTTGAATATTGTGATTATGACTATGGGTAACTAAACTCCATAACTAGGGTTGTGGGAACCATAGGCAAATAATGAGGTAAAACCTAACTAAAATAACAATTCTAGAATAGTGTCTTGCATGTATTAATAATTCTTTCTCTTAGAAGTCTTTTTAATGGATGACCAACGTTAGAACTCGCCTTAATGCTACTTGCCGGACCAAGGAGGTAGATAATAGGAAAAGAATTATCAACATAGGTTTAGTGTATACTATCTAATAGGCTAGTATTGATTGGTACGAAGTAATAACTTAGTCAAATGTCGAATATGATGCTTAATATGAGGTAAAGATAAGGGTTAGGATAGCAACACACGTAGCCGGACCAAGGTGCGGAGTGAGATTTTCTAGATGCCGAACCAAGGATTTAGAAATACATAACTTATCACTTTGAATGCAAGATACTAGAAAAAAACTGTTATAGTTAGAATTATCAAGTTATGAACCTGTGGGGAACACGTAAACCCTACTTACTTTGATTAATTGGTTAAACTTCAACATTCGAAGCTGTTAATTATCTCTTTCAATTTCGTTAGTTAATTTCATTTATTTAGAAGTAGAAACCCCCCTTTTATTATTTTTGCTTTCCAGGGAAGTAATTGACCGAACAATAGTAATAATAGGTTAAAGTTAAGTCTAAACTATTTTCCACGTATGAACGATCCCAACCTAACTAGTTGGGTTATTTACTTGACATGACCGCTTTACTTCTTATTTGAGAAGTAAGTTTGAGCGTATCATATACGTTTATGATTCTTACAGAGCGGCAGGTCATGATGCAGCAATCAGGAAAGAGTTTACCAAGTTGGCTCAACTCATTCCGCTTAAGTTGACTATGTATGATTATTACAAGAACAGAGGCTTAGATAGATCTTTTAGTCAAGAAGAGAATGAGTTATTTGAGATAGTTTTCATAGACAACATACCTCAACAGATAGATGACAGCTTGTAAGTTGTATTAATTCTGTTAGTCAATTTTAATTTTATTTTGTATTTAAATTTTAATTTTGTATTCTCATGTTTTATTCAGGGATTGTGGTATCTATGTGCTTGCTTTTGCCGAGTGGTTGTCTTATGGTCAATGAAATCCAAGTGGTACATTTGACGTAATGTTTTTATGATCAAGATATGTTGCACTTTGTAATTATGCTAAGCAAAAGCAAGACAACAGAGCCATTAGTGAATCTGAGGCACCCCCTAGGCATGCCATGCCTCAATTTGTTCGTGTTATGTCTGCTCCAATTGAAATACAATAGTTGTGCATTTTTTGACGATACTTCTTTGTGTTTTAGAACTAGTTAATTTATGTTTCATAAACTTTTATGTTGCTTTATATTTTGCATACTTATCATTTTGATTAACTTTTATGTAGCAGATAATTCTGCATACTTATCATTTTGATAAACTTTTGTTTAGCAGTTTATTCTACGTACTTTTCATTTTGAATTTATGTATATATTATGTTAGTTGATTCCATGTTTTGAATTTTTGTATGTTGTATTCATCGTTGTAAAATTGTTGTATTACATTATTCATTAAGTCACATACTTGTAGTTGTTTTGTTTGTATTAAAATATAAATTATTTTCAAATGTGCTCACATTAGTTGTATTATATAGTGTCAAATATATTTGTTTATGAACATTTAATCACAGTTTCTCAAGTCATATTTTTTAGCCTTATTGCATATACATATACATATTGAAGAACTGATTATTATATTTTGTATGTTGTATTCATAGTTGTAAAATTGTTGTTTTACATTATTCATTAAGTCACATTACTTGTAGTTGTATTGTTTGTATTAAAATATAATTTATTTTTAAATGTGGTCACATTAGTTGTATTATATAGTGTCAACTATATTTGTTTATGAATATTAAAACACAGTTTCTCAAGTCATATTTTTTAGTCTTATTGCATATACATATACATATTGAAGAACTCAACCTATTAATATACAGTGTGATAGGCACTAATATGGAGTGAGCTAACAAAAGACTTTTATTAGTATACAAGTAAATACGCGCAAACGAACATATTTTGATAAAATATTATTCATTGAACATTATGAAAACATCAATTACAAGGATAAACGATTTGTACGAACACATGTAAATTTATTTTTCAAAACAAATTCAAACATATCTAACTATTTAGTTCGTGGTACATTCCTGCATGATCGCCTATTATGTCCCTTTTGATCACAAGTACTACAAGAATTCTTCTTCTTCTTTCCATATAGCTCACTGTACGTCTTATCACGAAGCTTTTTTCAAGGCCTACCAGGTAGTTTTTTGAACTTTGGAGGCTTAACTATTTCATCCTCTACTTATGCAGGCACATTCCAATCTTTTCGATCAGGTAATGGATTTATTGGATTAGCATATATAACAAGTAATGTATTTGACTTGTAAAGGTCATAACAATACGGTTCAGGATCAAGAAATTTCTTCTTTAAAACAGCCCAAGTGTGCGAACATGGTATTTCATCCACTTGAAATCTCCTACATGTGCAAGTTTTCTTTTCAAGACAAACAATAAATGTTTCCCTTTTATGACGAACATTGTGCACATAATTACTTGTCGCAACTACCTATTACACAAAGTTAAAAGGAAGTTAAATCATACCAGTTATATAATCTTTAATTTTTACTAAACTAAATACAAAATACAACAATTTCAAGGAAGCATAAACATACCGTCATACACAGCGAAAGTTATTCATTTTCAGCGAGCATTTCTTGTGCTTTACCACAAAGTGTCGTGAATGTATTAGAAGCAGATGTATGATTTTTGAAATTCCATCGAACAAACATTTGTCTAATTTCCTCAAGAAAATCATATATAGGTAATTCTCTTGCTTCCACAAGGCATGATCAACTGGTGCATACACTCTTGCCCATTTGTCATAATCAACCAATTCCAAATAATTCTTCACCCCAATATCAACATGTTCTACTTTTTTCATCATTTCATTAAATTCAGAAAGTTTGTATGCCTTTTCCATTGCATAAAACACTTCTTGAAAGACTGTCATGTGACTTTTTGTAAAGTGTCTTCACGTTCTTCCAAAGATGAAGCGTGCAAGCATAATCTGGTATATTGTATATCCTCGAAACTGCTTTTATAATACTCTGGTTTCTGTCGGATACAACACACATTTTATCCTTCAAACCATGAGCTTCTTTAAACTGTTCAAAAAACTAAGTCCAAGATGCATCATTTTCGAATCAATAACACCGTATGCTAGGGGCAATATATTTCCTGAACATATACAATGCAAACATTAGGGTATACATATCGTCAAATACAACAAGTACATTTTTAATGAATATAATATTGTGCGTAATTATTTATAAAAATATAAATATCTAATAGTTACCTGCTCCATCCAATGTGCTTGCAGACACAAATGTGTCATTATAAGTCCCCCTGAGATGGCTGCCGTCTACTACAACTATTTGCTTACAACTTTCAAAACCTTTTATGAAAGAAAACAAAGCTATAAAGACATATAGAAATTCATTTTCTTCCGTCTTCTTCAATATGTGATCCAGGATAAGTGGTGTCTGATATGTATAAATAACTGGGTAATTTACTATATGAATCAGATGGTGTCCCCCTTAATGTATTTATTGCCTTTTCCCTAGCATTCCATGCCACAGAGTAGGATACATCTACACCAAGTTCGAGTCTAACATCAACTTGTATGTCTTTCGGTGTCAACTTTCTTTTATGATTAACTAGCTTGGGATTTATTATACCTCCAACAAGACTGCTTGTTGCTTGTGTCTAACTATACACCTTATCTTTTAATGAACATGTATGCTCATCTACAAACTTGTTAATTCTAAACATTCCCGATTTATTGGTGTTTGGAAACCTTCATTATCCATCCATAATTTTCAGATACACAAACAAGTGTATAACTGCTCGAATTACAAAAGAAAATAAACAAAATAAATTAAGACATGATATTATATGAAATAATTAATATAACAACAAAAGCTAAAATATATATAAATACAAAATACCTTACTAAACTTGATCTTTCTGTCTTCCATGAAATCTATTATCAATGGCATATTTCATCATCACAGCTTTCAAAGTACGTTTATTCTTATAAACTTGATCCTCAATGACTTCTTTATGATTCATATTGCAGATAATAGAGTTACTTAACTCATCACTGTTTAAGGGTGCACTAATAACTATTGCTTGGTTATCAGTAGTACTTCTTCCGTTTATCATACACATGCCAATATCTTTTTCATAATGATTTCTACAATTTATATCACGATCATTCACAAATACAATTACACAAATGGAGTACTTTGCGAATTCTCGAACTTCTTTCTTCAACGAAACATATACCTTCATTCCCATATCGTTGTGTATCTCCAAAGGTGCAATGCTACCTTCAATTTTATACTTAAGTTTCATTCTGTTATACCTCAAATCTACCTCAATCTGATTAGCAACTTCATCAACTAAATCTTTATACGATGCATATTTTTTAATCATAATTGCCTCAGTTGTGTAATTAATCTAGCATTTATCTTCAGTTCAATGTTTAGAATGATTTATTATAAAACTAATGCTCCCCATATATGCTTTATAGTTTAAAAAAAGTCAATACTAAATAACAAAATTAATGACATTATCATTAACTTGTATAAAGAATATAAAACAATAAAGTTACAATCGTAAAACAAATAATTTGAACATTATTACTTATCTAAACAATTGATGCATCAAATAAGTATTTTGTTGGATATACGGTTTCGTATAATAAAGTTAAAAAAACAACTTCAAATCAGAATACTATTATATAAAAAAAATGCAACAAATCACAATCAAATACAAAACATATAAGGATTAATTAACTAAAACATACCTGAATTTCGACTTTTCGTTTGTGTTTATTTTCCGAAAATCGTTTACCCAGTATATTTGACAAAATAATAAAATTGCAATAATTTTTTTTTCCAGATGAACATCATGAATAATGGCCAGATATATCATCAAGATTTTGAAAAAATTATAACTGATGTAGAGAATTTTAAGCATTTGTTACTTTTTATAATTTTTCTCTCCCTTAAATAGCTCTAGTTTGTTCTATAAATTAGGTATTCTTTTTAATTAAACAAATAATTAAAATATAATTAAAATACATAATAATGTAACATTTTGACATTATCACTAAATATTGAAAGTGTTGACACTATACCCTATTAAATACTAAAATAATGACATTTTAAAAAATTTCCCCATTAAATAACATTTGGCATTGGGCCCAAAAATTATAAAAAAACACACATTTAATATCTAATTTTTAAAAAAATAAAAAGAAAAATGAAAATGTCTAACCTATTTTACCCCACCCACTCCAACCCCCTTTCATCTTCATCTTCTTGCCCAAAACACATTCTTTCTCAAATTACAAAATCTTATTCTTTTCAAATAACTTCAAGATTAATTTTTTTTCTTAGTAAGAGTGAAGAAGAAAGAAACTTTTGTTGGCGGTTATTCAACTCTACAACGATGACAAAATGAAATTGATAGCTCCAAAATAATCTCTTTCAATTTTTTATATCATTTTTGATAAATTCAATGACCACATATGATTTGAGTAAAAATCTTTGTTCGAAAATTGTGATAAATAAATATCGGCTAACTGTTTTTATACGTAAAAATCATTAATCTTTTTTCATCTTCTTCATACTTGTTCCTTGTTTTTATGAGATTTGAAATAAATCATACGAAGAGTTTCTTTCAAATCTGAATCTTTATAGTTGATTTTCATTTATCTTCATATTTGAAAGATATAATTTTTTTGTATATAAAAAAAAGAAAAAAAAACAGTGTTAGAGCTAAAATGAAGAAAGTTTTGTAAACTAAATTATGAAGAAGATGATAGATAGGGAGTGGAGTGTTTTCTTTTTTGAAAAAAGTGTAAATAAAGAAGAAATTATTTTTTAAGTTAATTATAATGCCAAGTGTCAATAAAAGAAGAAAAATATTTATAAAAAAATTAAAAAGACACTATTTTAAGTCTTTTCACGCGCTTCAGGGAAGTGCAATATACATTTTTTGCCATATCAATATTTTGTGTCTAATAGGTACACGTTTTGAACAATTTTGGTGTTCAATAGGTACGAGTTGGAAACCTAAATAAGCCACAAAAGTGTAAAAATGACCAAAATAAGCCACTATTTTAGTTAGTAACTAAAATAAGCTTAGTGGAAAAAAAAGTCCACTTTATCTAATTTTCTAGACGTTTTCCGTTAATGTCATAATGTATATTTTTAATGTATAACGAAACATTTTCTTACACTTTATAAAGTGTAAGTAAAAATTACACTTTATAAAGTGGAGTTTTTTCTTCCACTTTATAAAGTGGAAGAAAAAGTTTCACTTTACAAAGTGGAAGAAAATCTTCCACTTTATAGAAAATTACTTTACCTTTTCACCTTCTCCTTCTTTCTTTCACTTTCATGGCTTCTAAGCTTAAAGATGAACATTATGGTCCCAATCCGATAACGGAAGCGGCCCCACACTAAATAAATCAAAATTTTAGAGTAGCACAACCCGACAACATAACAATCCGTCCCTACAAATTATATAAATTAGGTATTTTTTAACATCTCATAATTTCTTTACTTAGAATGTGTTTCATTTATCCCATCTTGTGTCTAGTATAGTATCATTTTGCATAATGATTATGATTCACGGAGTAAATTATAACTTACATGTTCTTAAATTATTTTGATTTTATTTTACAATGGAATAGTAAAAATATTGGAGAAAAAAGAGCTGATTTAGCATTCTTCCGTATTCCTAATTTAGATTTATTCTTCGAAACGGGCACCAAGTGAAGTAATGCAGTCCATATCTCTCCTTTATCCTTCCTTACCTACGAAAAAACATAGTTCAAAGAATCATCTTCCATTCAGAGCAAATGCTATTGTTGGACTGTGAAGTAGATACAACAGGGAGAAACTTTCTACCGTCACAACCCATTTCAGTGTTTGCTTAATGCTTATCGCTCTCATTTTAATGGGCGACATTCAACCCTTAATTCTCGGTTTATAAAATTTAATGAATAACAGAAAAAAAGATTACTATTGAATATTAAACCTATGATATTATGCCAGAGTTGACTAACACTTGTCATGGGAGATTGTGAATATGCTCAATTTTGTCAGATAATATGAAGATTTGGAAGAGAATTTTGGTGTGATTTGTTTTCTGTGAAGTGCAGTTGTGTAAGCCCTAGCATAACCTGTCTTGGAAAAACTACAAATTCTTTTTCCATTGAGTTAGAAATGGAAACAGAGAATACTCAACCTTCAAAAGCTAAGTCATAGTTACTAACTACGAATTTTAAACATTATTTAGTTAACATATTCTTGATCATCATATATGTTCTCACTACTTACTCAATTAGTATTTTTTTTTCTTTTACTCCCCTTCACAATTCAAAAGCTAAAACCTCGACAAATAATAAGAGGTATAATATAGAATTTCACTTTTACCGTAGAGGTCCAACAAAACTATAGAAGTAAATAAAAAGCAGAACTGTCTAGGCATTAATATGTCAAAATATAATTATATTATATGAATTAATATAATTTTTCTTACAGTATATAATGAAGCGTGTTGTGAATCCTGGACCGATTGATCGTACACTTCTTCTCTCTCAGCATGAGCATAAATCAGAATTGTTATGAAAAGGTGAGATACCATTTAGTAACCTTATGAGGACGGTGAGCATGAATGATGCCTAGAATTTATTTCGTTTGCACCGACCTCATGAACGTGTTGAGGAGATCTTACGTAGGTCCGGACAGTATGATGTAGTTTGTGTGGGCAGGATGCAGTATGATCGTGCCCTTGTTACAGTTATGGTTATGCGTTGGAGACCAGAGACTCATTGCTTCCACTTACCTTTTGGTGAGGTCACGATTACATTGCAGGATGTGCAGGTCTTGTTTGGTTTGCGCATTGATGGTGATGTTGTGTACATTCAGGATGCTACCCGGAGGATTCGTCCATGGAGTACTTTATTAGAGACACTCACAGAATGTACCATAGCACCTACTGATATAGATGCTGTGAGACGGGTGAGGATACATAACATTACCGCCAACTTGCGAGATCAGTTACAAGTAGATCCGATAAGAGATGCTACTCCAGTGGAACGAGTGGAGAGGATTGCTAGACTTTACATGCTTGTTATATTAGGGGGCATCTTATTTCCGAACACTTCAGGAAACCTTATTAGTTTACAATACTTGGCATTCCTAGATCCTATCCACGATGTAGGTAAGTACAGTTGGGGCAGTGCAGTGCTAGCCTACTTGTACCGTGCACTTTGTCGAGCATCTATCGGTAATGTGATTGACATTTGCGGATTTATTCCTCTCCTTCAGGTAACTTTACTTAAGTTTTAAAATACATTCAAATGTAAAAATCTTTAACATTACCGTACAAGAATATTTTTTCTATATTCAATTTTTAAAATATTTAAATTACATACAAATAGTTTATAAAACCTACATAGTTTTAAAAAAGATTCACATACATTTTCCTACAACTATAAAAATATATATATATGATTATCTATTTTTTTTGTTAATGATGATAATTAAATTATTTTGTTTGTCACATCAAGGTTTGGTGTTGGGAGAGGATCTTTCCTGTACAGCCATCAGCTCCTCCTCAGCATGATGGTGACATGTTACTTCCATATGCTAGCCGTTGGACGCGTGTAATTGATAGGGATACTGAGTCACATCATGTTCTTATCCCGATTAGAGACCAGTTAGACAACATGATGGAGGATCAGTTACATCAAATAAATTTTGCAACTCTACTAAAATAATTAAAAAATATATATAAATTACATATAAAAGTAAATCAATAATAATTTTATTTGTATACTAATCAGTTAATGTTGATTTTATTTAATTGTTATATTTTTAAAATAGTTTCCATGGACATCGTACAATGAGATTTTACATACACTGCCTCATTGTTGTATGGTCGATGAGCCTCTATGGATGGCATGTGTCCCTATGTTTTGTCTAGAGATTGTTGAAGTGCACTCGCCTGATAGAGTAATGCGTCAGTTTGGTCATTCCCAGCATGTACCTGTGATTCCTAGTGGGGAACCAACCATCACGTGCATGATCAGCGTAGGAGGCATGAGAACACGGAATATGGTATGATTGCCATTTACCACATTGACCTTTTCCTTGTGATGCATTTACAATGTGCTTATTACCACCACGACCATGATGCATATGTGTTTGCACCTCAAATATGTTTTCCCTTTATTGGTGATAGTTGATCAGTGTGTGACGTTGCGACTTTTTTCAATTATCCTCAAAAATCTTGAATGGTTTAGGCATCCATTGTTGCTTTTTCTGTACTAGATGATTAACAAATTTTGATCTTGTAACAAATTGATTCACAATTTCATTTTAATTGAGTCTTACCATTGCAGTAACTGGCAGACTCCTTGCTGATTTGAGAAGACCATTGAATGATTCAGAACTGTTTGTTGTCAACATTCCCTATCTCTTACCTCCATCCCTATGCAATGTCCATTTGTCAAGATCGTTCTTCATTAGCCACACATATGCTTCCGCATTAGTCTCCTTGATCATTTCCATTTTTTTCAAAAAAAAATTCTCCTGACAGTGATTTGCAGCTGCCCATAACAGGTTGTTCAAAGTGACATTTTTGATATATATATATATTTTTTAAATTGGCCTTCAAATGTCTTAAACAAAAACGATGAAACCCAAATGGAGCCTGCTATTTCGGAGAATTATACACGGATGAGAGTATTCCGTGATGCCTATTTGATATAAATGTGACCCCTCTACGACCCTTGACAACGTGCAAGTGCAAATGATCCAAAAATAAAGTCCATGTCTCTATGCTCTCATTTGCAACTATTGCAAATGCCAAAGGTAATATAGAGCCATTACCATCTATTATAATCGCAATCAACAACGTGATATCATATTTTCCATAGACATGTGTTCCATCGATCGATATAACAGGACGACAATGCACAAACCCATCAATGCATGGTTTAAAAGCCCAAAACACATAGTTGAATACATCTTCAATGACATCGACACGCCGCTCTGTTTTCCATTCTACTATTGTTCCAGAATTGAAGTGTTTCAAAGCTTCCATGAACCTCGGTAACTCGACAAAAGAACCCTTCCAAGTACCATAGAATTTTTCAAAAGCCCGCTTGCAACCAAGATAAGCTTTTCTTCTACTTGTCGAAATGTCATATGCTTTAAGAACGACTGTTTGACAGTCTTTGATGGGAAACCTAAAAAGTAATAATAATATTAATTATCAAATAAATATGAATATTTTCTTATTAAATAAGAATCATCTAAGGATAAAATAGTACCTTGGCGTTCTTTCTATATCAACACGGATGACGTTAGCAATCATCTCAACATCCAAGTTGAAATGTCCTTCTGCGACATGTACCCATATCACATGTATGTTCTTCAATGTATCTTTCAACTTTTCACATGTTAGTATGTTTATCAATAAAAGAAGTCAACCTAAATCGGCATCCTTGTTCTACAAGCCTGCAAATAAGTCGCCATGATTTGTTTGTCGATTTAATAACAAAGTACTCCCTTGCTACTTTCAAATGTAGAAGTTTAACTGCTCTTTGCAACTGCTTTTTTGAATTGAATAACATGCTTTTTTCAATATAAATAGCACCATTCATGAAATCTTGTGGTTTATGCCACGTACGTTGAGATGTATACTCATCATATGTATCACCAAAGATATTTGAACCATCCGGGAGATGATCAAGATAAGGAATTTCATGATTACGAAACGGGCTCATGGACATTGGTCTTGGCAATCGATTAAGAGTCAAAAAATCATCATCACTAGATGATGCCTCAAATGGAACATTATCTCCTGATTCCTCAGCATTAGGCAAATCATCACTATCACTAGCTGAAGGTGAGTCATAATTAGGTTAGTCACGATCATCGATATTCACAAGATCAATGGGTTCATCTTGTGTAATATTTTCCCTATATATGTAAAAAAGTATAAATATTTCGCTCATGCAATTAACTTACTTAAATAAAGAAAAAATCAAGCGTTGGAAATACTGAAAATCATCTGCACCAAAAGTAGGCGATACATGAAAATTTGAGGATGTCCCAACATTTTTTGTCATTTCAAAGTGTGATGACTGACCAAAATAATTATCTAATCCATAACTTAAAGCAATATTTCTATCTTGTTGAGGTAAACCGCTACAGAATATATTATAATAAGAAAAATAAATCATATAAACTAATAAATAATTGACAAAATCAACAAATAATGATTGAAATATAATTATTGAGCACTACCGATCACTTTCATTGATAGTTTCATTTAAATCAAAATCATCATCGGTCGGTAAGAATATTTTGATAATGAGTCATGTTAGGAAAATCAGCAGATTGAGTTATTAGAAATTCTTCAACGCTATTACGATTTTCTAATTGGGGATTGACATCGATTGATAAATGAGAACGTTGTTGACTAATCTTAGGCTCCTTCCTAATATAGATTTCAAGTATTGTTAATTTGATTTGATCTATGTAGTCATTTGGAACCCTCAAAAAGTCGGTCAACGATTCGTCATTATAGATAATCCACTCTCCAAAATTAACTTGTCCTTGTGATAAAAATGAAGTAGGGTATTTTCCGACTATAATCAAATTATAATCAGTACTGTTTATACCCATTCTTTTATAAATCGATGAAATGAATTTATGATATCGAACATTAATTGGAAATTTAGCATTGTGTTTGGGAGGACAATTATAATAAATGGTATTTCCGTCATGTATAATTTCGCCATCCTAATAAATTGAAACATTAACTTTAGGCGTAGAAGATTTTCTTTTTTGAGATTGAATGAATAAATATAGAAGATTTTATGTTGTAGGTGATATCAATCATTTTAAACGACCTTAAATAAAGATTGAAAGTTTTTTCAAAATAAAAAAAATAAAAATACATAGTGTAATATTTTTTTCCGTTTTATGACATGTCAAATCAACATAATTGTATGACAACATTGAAAAAGCTTTTTCAAAACGTGAAAAATATTCCTCATATAAAGTGTAATAAAAAGTTCTACTTTATAAAGTGGAAGAAAAAGCTCTACTTTATAAAATGGAAGAAAAAACTCCACTTTACAAAGTGAAAGAAAAAACTCCACTTTATAAAGTGTAATTTTTACTTACACTTTATAAAGTGTAAGAAAAAGTTCCGTTGTACATTAAAAATACACGTTATGATACTAACGAAAAACGTTTAGAAAATTAGATAAAGTGGAATTTTTTTTTTCACTAAACTTGTTTAAGTTACTAACTAAATAGTGACTTATTTTGATTATTTTTACACTTTTGTGGCTTATTTAGGTTTCCAACTCACTCCAATTTTAACTTAAATTAATGTTATTATATAATATTGTGAATGGTCTTAAATTTGCTAAATAACTTAAAATTGTGATATTGTTCAGAATAGAATTTAACACTTCTTATATAAAGATAAAATATAATTGATCATAAATTCAAGATTTTAATTTATATTCTCATAAATTATATAGAAATTTGATTATCCTCTTAAAGATTTTTGAAAATGAAAAGGTAATAAGAGGTTTTAAAAATGTTTATTTAAATTGTGATGGTCAATAATTCTAAATTAGTAGGGTTTTAAGAAGGTGTAAGTGATAAAGCTAAAGAATGATTTTTGTTAATTGAATTATGTGTCCTAAATAGTTAGCTATTTTCTAGGGATAAAATTAATTATTGATCTTTTAAAATTTAAATTTTAAATTAATAACTAAAATTTCAAAAACTGTCTGAATATTGATTTGGTTAACTATCATTTTCAAAAACAAAGTAAAAAAGGGAATTGTAATATGGAGTTAGTTATTTTTTATTTTGTTTTGTATTATTTTTTGTAACCATTTCTAAATATATTATTTTAGTGTTAACCATTTCTAAATATATTATTTCTATTTATCAATTGCAACAAAAGATTGTTACTACATATTTGAATTTATCACTGAAAAATATTTGATGTTTAACAAAAATTATAATCATTGAAAAAATAGTGTTCACATAATAAGATTTTAAAAAAATTGCAAATCAGTCGTGATATAACTCCGATTTTAGAATTCCATTGCTTATTATTGAAGAGTTTATGTTTAGTAAGAATATTTTGTCAGAAGGCGTGTACATTTGTAAAATAAACACATATATTATCAAAGTGGTATTAACTTTTTAAGTATTGTATTGAATTTCAATTCCCCCAAATATAATGCAATTTCCACCAAAAGAGAAAAACAACATATATTCGCACAAATCATAATGGATGTCCCACCGGAGGAGTGAACTTTTGATTTGTTGCTTGACTTTTAAAAATGAATCTGTATATATGTGTATTCCTCCACTCCTTTTAAAAATATATAGTATAGTTCAAAAAATATTGTGATACATTATTTGCTGAAAGTAAAAACTATAAAAAAAATTACTGTTTGCAAGTTTCTTTACCATTATCCGTAAAAATGGTATGAATTTTAATAATATTTAAAAAAGTGAAAAATATAAATGTAATAATAATAATAATAATAATAATAATAATAATAATAATAATAATTTTACTATTGTTGTTATTATTATTGTTATTATTATAACTAAAAGGGAGCGTCAATGTGCATTGGAAAAAAACATATTAATAATATTTGTTAATGTGCAATTTATCAGAATTTATTATAAAATATATTACTATTATATATAGATTATTATTGTTATTATTTTTAGTAGTATTTGTTTTGCTATAAATAAGAAGATTGTGAAATTTAATTAAAATTATCTTTAAAAAAAATAAAAAGACAGACGTTAAAACAACATATTTTCAGAACAAGTTTTTCCTTCTTTTTTTTTTCATTTAATTTCAAAAACGGCTTCGAAATTATTTAAAATAAAATAATAATTTATTATAAAATCTATTGCATGAATTAATTTTAATTATTTAAATATCCATTTTTTGGTAATACATAAAACTCCGTTCGATATTGTTTGTCATAGTTTCTATTTTTAGAGTTAAATTATAAAAACTTTGATTCATGTTTTATAATGTATTTTTTCATCATATAAATATGTAAAAAATTATAATTTATAGTATTTTCTATATAATTTTAGAATATCTGATTTTTTATTTAAAATATCAAATTAATGTAATCTACCTTATCTTTGAAAATTAGTCAATTTGATTTTTAATAAATGTAATATGACAAACAATTTGGATTGAGGGAATAACAATTAGTTTGGGAAGAATTAGTCTCTCTTTTCTCTTAAAAAAAAAAAAAAAAGGCCTTTTAAGTCACACCTCTTCTCCAAAGCTCTCCCATCGATCTCTTACGCCCACCCATCCCCGACCAGCGCCCACCCCACCTATCCCAGATCGGCGCCTAACCCAGCAGCAGCAGTAGGAGGTCGCAGTGCCGCACCAGCAGCAGCAGAGGGCTGCAACAGCAATATTGGGTATGTTTCAAATTTTCGAAAATTCATTTTAGTGTTTATTTAACACACATATTTGTTCTATAGGGTAGATAACTTGTAAGAGTTTAACAAATGGAAGAGATAATATATTTTTTTTTACAATAATTCACAAAAATGAGAATTATAAGGTAAATGATAAAAGACTTAACTTTGTTAACTTAAATGATAATTACTACAAAATCCAAGTTAAATATATTTGATAAAATTGAACTCAACTTAAATTAAATTTTACTTTTTAATCAGTGAAGAGATCATTTTCTTTAATCAGCGAAGATATCATTTTCTTTAATCAGCGAAGTGATCATTTCTTTTGAGGTTTAAGTGAACTAGGATTACCAAATTTAGCAAGTATAACTACACAGATTTAAAGAAAGTTGTTTACTATATTTCCTTTTCCAAAAGATTGGAGAATTTGCAGAAATAGTATAGAACCATTTAGTTTGATCAATTTTAGGTATTTACTGATCCTAAAATTGTCTGAGCCATTTCTTGAATGTCATTATGTTATAATGATAGAAATCTCTTTATAATGACCACCGAAGAAATTTTAAATTGTTTCTTTTCGTGCTAGGCTACTGAGGAAGCTCAACGTTTTAAAAAGTTGATACAGGACTGTACTGCTTCTTTCATCAAAGTAGGATATAAGGTTTGGTGTTTCTAAAGTTCTAAAGTTCAAGTACAATTGTTTCTTATAATGTGTTTGTGTCCATCTAGTATTAATACTTAACTTTAATTTTGTAATTATTTGTTTGTATTCATCGAGTGTTGACACTTAGCTTTAAATTAGGTGATAATGTGTTTGTTTAACATAAGTACCAACACTAGCTGATCCTATTGATGACAAAATTGATTTTCTTGCAAAATTGAATTGTGCATATCTAGTGTTGATACTTAGCTTTAAATTTTGAAATAATATATTTGTTAAGCATAAGTACAAACACTAGTTGATCCTATTGATGACAAAATTGATTTTCTTGCAATATCGATTTGTGTTATTTAGTGTTGATACTAAGCTTTAATTTAAGAATAATGTGTTTGTTATGTATAAGTTCCAACATAGTTGATCCTATTGACGTCAAAATTGATTTTCTTGCAATATCGATTTGTGTCCATCTAGTGTTGATACTAAGCTTTTATTTAGGAATAATGTGTTTGTTAAGCATAAGTACTAATTCTAGTTGATCCTATTGATGACAAAATTGAGTTTTTTTTTATAGATCAATTTGTGTCCATCTAGTGTTGACACTTAGCTTTAAATCTAGGAATAATGTGTTTATCAAGCATAAGTACCAACACTAGTTGAACCTATTAGTTGGTGGATTAATTGTTGGAATTAATTCAAATTACTAGTTAGATTTAATGATGTTTAGTTGTTGAAATAAGTTCAATTAAGTTTAGTTAACCTCTAGCTAGTTTGACTCGTTATTCAAAATAGAGAAAATGGTCTAAATCCCTCCAACCTATACTTGAAATTTCAACTACACACTCCAACTTCATGGGTGTCCTATCCTCTAGCATTTTATTTCTCTATTTAGTGCACACCTGAGTGTTGACATGTTATAGGAGGTGAGAACACCTTCTCTAGGCGTGTTAGAAGAAGAAATAAACCAGTTCACGTCAGAAGAGACAATAAATTGGTAATGGTCATCTTCCCCAAATTAAATTAACTTTTGTGCCTTTTCCCCACCATTAATCCTTGTTCATTCTTCAATATGTTGACGATTTTCTTTCAAGAATGACTAGCTTTTAGTTGTTTATGTTCACTTCTACTTTAAATCTTGAAGTAGTATGCTCGAATTTCTTATTTAGGTTCTCTAGTTTGAATTTTGAAGTTCCTCTAAATTTGTTGAAAATGACAAATGAAAACTTGAATAAGCTTTGTATCGATGAATCAGACCTAATGCGCTCAGGTGCTGTAGTGAGATGTAAAGCTGAAATTTTGTTGAATTTGTAAACTTTTTGATCGAGATTAAATTCGGAAAAAAGATTTTTGTCTTACCCTTGCTATGAGTATATTTTTTCCCTTGTATTCTTGATTCTCTTTATAAGGGACAAAGAAAATACACACGAGAATTCTTGGATCATCACCAAAATGCTATTTAGATGTTGTAATAACACTTTGGTGTGGGAGATTAAAAGGGAGAAAGCGAAAAGAAAGAATTTGGGGTAAGGGGTGAGGTCATTCGATCTTTACAAGGAAAAAGAAAAGGTAATAGTGGGGTCCATGCATGTAAATCACGTTAGTCAATATATTGGGTTTATGTGTACTGGTCAACACTCAGGTGTGCACTAAATAGAGAAATAAAATGTTAGGGGGTGATAGAACACTCATAAAGTTGGAGTGTGTAGTTGGGATTTCGGTATAGGTTGGGGAGGCTTAAAACCATTTTCTCTTTAAAATATTGTGGTTTAGTTGGTGGATTCAGTTGTTGGAATTAAGTCAAAATTTGTTAAGAGTTAAAAAATTGTTTAGTTGTTGAAATAAGTTCAAACAAATAATGTGGTTTAGTTGATGAATTTTGTTTTTGGAATTAAATTAGTTAGAATTAAAGTTGTTTAGTTGTTTAAATAAGTTAAAAAATAATGTGGTTTAGTTGGTGGAATTAATTCCAAAGTTGAGTAAATATTGTTTTGTTGTTAAAACAAGTTCAAATAAATAATGTGGTTTAGTTGTTGAAATTAAGTCAAGACTAGTTAGAGTTAAAGTTGTTTACTTGTTTAAATAAGTTCAAATAAATAATATAGTTTAGTTGGTGCATTTAGTTGGTGGAATTAATTCAAAACTAGTATTAGTTAATATTGTGTAGTTGTTTAAAATAAATTCAAATAAGTAATGTGATTTAGTTGGTGAATTTAGTTGTTGAAATTAATTTAAAACTAGTTAGAGTTAAAGTTGTTTAGTTGCTGAAATAAGTTCAAATAAATAGTGTAGTTTAATTGGTGGATTTAATTCAAAACTAGTTAGAGTTAATATTGTTTAGTTGTTGAATAAGTTCAAATAAATAATGTGGTTTAGTTGGTGGGTTTAGTTGGAATCAATTCAAACTAGTTAGAGTTAATGTTGTTTAGTTGTTGAAATAAGTTCAAATAAAGTTTAATTAACCCCTAGCTAGTTTTACTCATTATTTGAAATAATTTGGTTTAGTTGGCGAAAATAATTCAAAACTAGTTAGAGTTAATGTTGTTTAGTTATTGGAACTAAATTATCATTATGGTTTGTGTAAATGGAACCCGATTGTAGTTGGATGTATGATAAAAATAATCCTGGTCGAACGGGTATGATTCCAGAATTTGCAGAAGGTCACTAGTTTTATATATCATGCAAAGACACTTGATGATATTTTAACTTCAAGATTGATTAGGTGTTTGTGAAATTTGAGATATCATACTACAGAGAATGTTGCTATGCATCTTGATGAATGGTTTCAAACCAAGGTATACAGTTTGGACTAGTCATGGTGAGGTTGAAAGTGACACTATGTTTAATAATTTTGTTGTCGGTGAAAGTAGTAGATCTAAAGAGCATAATTATGTCCAAGGTGCTAGAATGTTAGATATGGTTGATGATGCTTTTGGGATGCATTCTGATTTTGAATTTGGGGAAAATATAGAAGAAGCTCCCAATGAAGAATGTTAAGACCTTTTTCCCTTGCATATTAAAGTTAGTTTTAAAATATGTTGTGCAGCTAAATTAAGACTAGAAGAATATTTGACTCATCCAAATGGCTTTAAAGAGTTACAACCAAATAAATATAAGGCGTGCAAATGTCTCCTAGGATGGAATTCTAAAATGCTATATATTGTAACATTTCTTTAGTTTCTAAAAGCTTGTACAATACCCTGTGAAGTTCAAGATTTTGGACCTTTTCACTAAAGAGTGTGTGAGGCACCGTTTGAGGACCAACTAATTACTAAGTTTAGTTATCACTTGTTTCTAAAGGAAACACCAAAAGATAGGGGAAAACAAAATATATTGTCCCTACACTATCCACACATGCTTCAATCTATATATTATGTAGCTTTGGAATAAATATACAAGAATGGTCCAAATTAACTAAGGTTGTGCACTAGACTTCGTAATATGTCATGTTTGGTCATAAACCTAAAATAAACATTTGAAAATTACGGAAAAAAAAACTATTGAAAACCAACTGAAAATCATGAAAAGACATCCAATATATCAGCCACAAAATAATAGCAAAGACATTATTTCCATATTCTTATTTTCAGAATTATTTCACTTAAGTAGAGGTTACTTAACCATATCAATGCATAAAACTTGAATGGGAAATCATCGAGAAATAAAAACTAGTACACCGCTATAGAAACGTCATTGAACTTGATTAGATAAGAAGCTCCAGTATAACTAATTAGTAAACTTTTTAAAAGATGTGTTCCTCTATCAGAGGTCCTTTATCAAGAGATCCCTAGCCACAAAAATTGTCAAGTATTGTATAGTGGCTCCATAAACAGCTTGTTACTACAAACCAAATCTAACTAATGCATTCCTGAATATGCCTTCATTTGAGCTATTATTTTAATGAAAAGTTCAAGAGCTGAAACATGAATCCCTCTCTGTCCACTTTCATTACCCATGATACCAAGAGAGTAACTATCACCAAGCTCTCAAACTCAATAGCTACAAAGTCGAAGATGCCTCCAAACATGTCTTCTGATTTGAGCTCTTGCCTCCCTATTTTGCATTAAACTTAACCATGCATCCAAAACATCAAATACAGGTATCAGGCCTTGCTCATAATGCATTCGCCCATTGCCAGGTCCTTCAGGTTGTAGTTAGCAGTAAATTATTCGATCCGATCCAGCAAAAGAGAGGATTAAGATGCATGTTGCTCTTGAAGAATATTGTTAT